GGTCCGGTTGTTTGATCCGCACCAGAGTTAGCATAGTGTATTCACACCTGCACAAAAAGTCCCGACCAACGCTGGAAATGAACTCTGGTCCATTTAAAGTGGAGCAAATTGTCAGATCTGAAGACACCCTTAGACAAAAATCATCTCATGTTGCAAAATGATGACGATTTGGTCAAACCTTAAAATTACCATTTTGTGCAAATTCATGCAAGACCATGCCCTTAGTATCTGTTAAGGATGACTCTCAACTACTACTACAATAAACTTTGGCTCATTTACAGGAGGGGTCACAGTGGCTTGGTGGTCTTGCAATTCTGATGCTGCAGGTTTGAGCCCAGGTTACATCGGGACAGGGAAACTGCGTAAAATCAATGAAATATGTGACACATTTTCATCTGCGCTAACGTCAGTTAGTTGTGGCAGCCTTCTCGACTTTGAATGAATCCTAAAGCTAATGAGTTATGGAAAGATCTTTTGCAAACATTACAGATGCAGAATTAAAAGAGGCAAAGCAAATAAATTCATCTAAAAAATCTGCATATATATATATATATACTGTATATATATGATACTAAACATCTACTTTACCTACAAATTTTGCACAAACCTTAGAAGTAGTTTAAAGTCACATACTATGGCTCCCTGATGTGAGAGGGTGTGTTGTAGAGAGAGGGTTGATTGATTTGATTTGATTTATTGATTCAACAGGAAAAGATTACTAAAAATCAAGCCTGACTCAGCATAATTGCTGTTTTACAGCAGGTTCCTGTTCTGCAGCACATAAAACACTCAGAAATACAGCACCGCAATCACATCATTATACAACATAGACACAAAGACAAACAAGCATACCAAATTTCAGGAAGGCAGCATTTGCAAAATAGGACGTCTAAATATGAGCACAACAAAAAGTGTCCAGCAGATGGCAGACAAGATTCTTCTTAAAGGGCTGTAGTTTTGAAATGGACTTTATGTTTTGAGGAATGTCATTCCATGCTTTAGTATAAACATAGAAGAAAGACCTCTGGCTGTAACAGTTTTTAAAAGGTGGTAATATCAGTTGTCCTTTTGTAACAGATCTAGTTGAATGACCACTTCCAGAATTTGATTTGGGCAGCAATGCAGAGTTCCATAATTGGCACCTTGGAAGATCTGAAAATATAAATTAATACCACTATACAAAACATAATTCTGAAAAGTCAAGGCATCAGACAATGAAAGAACTGTACAGTGATGAGTCCAACCAGGAAGGTTTTTATGAATTTTGTATGCCCTGTTGTAGAGCCTAACTATGGGTTCTAAGATTTCATTTGTTGTAAGAGACCAAACAGGTAAACAGTACGACATGGTTGAGAGTATAATGGCATGAAGATAGATATTTGAAACAGAAGGTCAGATTGGATCTAATTTTTGAATAAACGTATAATTTCTGTTTCAACTTAGTGGTTAAGACTTGTACATGATCAAGATAAGTCAAATGAGAATCCAAAGTAATTCCAAGATATTTGTAGGTAGTGACAATATCAAGGGGTTTGTTTAAAAAAGTAAGTTGATTTGTTATATTGAAATGTCTCCTGGGTGAGGAAAAATACATGCACAGTTTTTTTAACATTAATTGACAAAAGATCATCTTGAAGCCAACCATGAAATGTTTGAAGATCTGCTTGTAACTGACTATTAATAGATTCAATATTGAAATTAGACAAAAAAGAACAGTATCATCAGCATTCATTAAAATATTTGAATACTTCAATATTTTTGGAAGGTCATTTATGTATAATAGGAAAAGCAATGGGCCCAGTATGCTACCCTGCGGAACTCCCACGGAACAGGGCAGAGACCCGGACACAGAGCTTCCATGTTTCACGACCTGACACCTATCAGTCCAATGGGTGTGGGAATGGGTGTGTATTCTGCAAAACTGACAACCTCAACCCACAAAATCTGGCAGACACTGAGCACATTTGAATTCTCCCAAACAGAAAACAGAATCACGATTCCAAAACAGCAATCCTAAATTACAACATGGGAAAAGTTTCACTGGCATACGGTATGTTGCAACACTCTTTCACCCATAGCCTCTGACATTATTTCAAAAGCTTAAAAGAATCTTGCATTTACAAACCAACCAGCAGGAAATCCACTTTGTGCCAACAAGGTGCAGCCTCCCCTAACTGGATTATCTTCTATTTCTGTTTATTTGTGCATACCTAAGCAGAAACATACACAACGCAAAAAAAGTAATGAATAAAAACCTCGCACGAGTGTTTGTTGCCCTGTTGCCTGAAGAGTAAAAAAATCAGAGCTTTAAAATCTTAAAAGAAAAAAATAATATTGATGCCAATCTAAGACAGTTTTTTTCTTTTCTTTTTTTTTTTACTACAAATTAACCAGAACAGAATAAAAAATAAATAAAAAACCATCCCCACACATATGGATGTGCCTTCCACTTGTGGAGAGCTGCCCAACAGTGAACAGTGTCTATATAAGGCTCTGTTCAGACTGCAGCTTCAGCCACTTACCAGCATGTTCGTATAAATCAGCAGGTGAGACCAAAACAAAGTCATATCGTGCTCACTTGGGCGAGTAATTCCAAAGAATGCCTTAATTACACCAACTGTGGAGGGAGACATCAGCTGTACAGATAAGAAACGTATCGGCGGTGATAAACCGTGACTAATGTGATTGCAATCATCTTGCTTTTATTTCCCACCAAGGACGCAATAAATGTTTTACTGCCATGCACGCTCCTTTCCCTTTTACAAGTCGACACTTTTACGACTATTTCCTTGTACATCTTTAAATGTTTTACAGTGTAAAAAATGCTGCTTTTGTGTATTTTTTTTTTGCCTTTTCTGCATCTAAAGACATTTTTTTCCTTGTGAGCCTCTCTACCAGCTTAACTCTCACTCCTTCACTCTGTCAGTATCACTCTTCTTCTCTCAGTCCCTCTCCTCTCTCCCACATACCTCCCACACGAGCGAGCGTGCTTTATGTGTTTCTGCACGTTCGCCTCCTGCACACACACATATCACTTTTCTTTAAAGTACGGATAACGACGAGCAGCAGACGAGAACATAAATAAGCAACCCGGTTGACTTTTCCACGCCGTAAGTGGGGTAATCCAAACTTTTCAAGTAAATTGTTTGCAAACAGGATTTGAGCTTTTGGCTCCGTCTTTGCCTAGATTTAAAAAAAAAGAAGAAGCGATGAATGGAAATATGCAAAGAACAATACAAACACTATTCAAATCAATCAGCCAAACTTCTTTAAACAAATGACTTGTGTGCCATCGGGGTGAGCGAGACGATAGATGAAGTGATTTGAGATATGAAAGCAAAGATGATTTATGTTTTACTCAGTCCTAAAAAAGTGGCATTTTTGAGCAATTTTTGTGTTTTAAAACTGAAAGAGGTGGCCTCTTTGGCTACAGATAAAGAAACACTGCCGCCCACGCACCGACACACACTTCATACCCAAACAGGCCTTAACCTCGTCTTTGAACTGCACCCAAATGCAAATAGAATCAAAGTGTGTGAGACTGAAAACGGCTTTCCCCTTTCTCTTCCACACTCGCTGTCTCACAAACACGACTTCATGCTCACATGTCCAGCTTTTTAAGAACGAAGCAACAGGCCCTGAGCTACGCGAATGCACACCTCCACACACGCTGAAGCGAGTGCTACTCGAGCAGCGGGCACTGGCCATTTGATACGGCAGCATCCAAAAAACATGCACGGACACATTCAGAGGCAAACGAGGCGCACAAACGAGGGGCAAGCTTTTAAAACTAACTCACCAAGACAGTAGCTTCTTTGCTTTTTGACACGCACGACCTAATTGCACTGGCACACCTGAAAGATTTATTTCCGCGCATTCGCTTAATCGACAAAAGCTAATCAGTAAATTGTTCTTAAACCCCTACTAGCAATGTCTTTTCCCCTCCCTACAGATTCTTTATATGTCTGTTCGGAAACATGTTGTGCAAAAAGCATCTCAGGAAAACTGGTTGTGACAGATTTTTTTTTTTTACTTTCTGTGCATGCCGTAAAAACAATGAACTAAGGAAATAAAGACACAAAAAACGTAAAGGCTGAGACCAACCTCTTTCCAAGAAACAATAGGAAACCCTTTTTTAAACAGAAAATTAAAAGTTGTAACATTTTAAAATCCAGACAATTCAACAGGTTTAAGATCAACAAGATCGCTGACTCGTTCTCTGAGAAAGTTTAAGCTACCAATATTTCAATCAGCCAATCTGAAAAGTGTGAACAACGACCAGAAAAGAGAGTCAATAATGTAGGTGTAAACACTGAAGCACACTCAGAGCTCAAGAGGAGGGAAACTGGACTTTGGGGCTCTCGGTTTCCTCTAATCAACCTAATTTCCTATAAGTCAAGTCAGTTGAACTGAGGACAGCTCTTCAGAGAAAAGTCAAGCATCAGTCATAAAACAAAAAACAGGTTTTGTTGTCAGTTCAGAGGTTTTGAAGTGGAGCAAGACAACTGCTCATTTTTGAGAAACAGGGTTAGTTTTGAGTCAGTTCAAAAGTTCAGACTAGCTTTCATCCCATCAGTCTGGCCAAAACYCTTTGTTGGTTCTTTCTTTCTACAACCTGAGGTGGTTCAAAGAACTATCTACTACTTAGATAAATATTGTTCGATTTAGTAGGACTCCACTCCAGAAGATTGGAACTAGCCCTTTAGGCTCTGAGGATTACTAACTGGATAACTGCATGAAGCCCACAGATCGATAATGGCAGAGACTTGTGCCACAAATGCTGCTAATAAGACAAACTGGAGCAAAAAATATTTGATCTAGCAATGAATTCGATTCTGGAGATCATCTTTAAAAGACTGCTTAGTGTCCTGTCCCCAACTTTTAAACCACTGTTTGAAACAATCAGCAAACCGATGTGGAAACAGACAGGTTCATTTTCTTTTTCAATTTGACTGGCACAAAAAAACACAAGCCCACTCAAAAGGTTTTAGCCTTCTTACCGCTTTCTGTTGAGAGCTTAGGTGTTCTGGGTTGAGAAGGTTCTCCCCCTTCTCCGTATCACTGGAGATATCCTCCTCAGACTCTTCCCAAGAAGAGGAGAAACCAGCCGAGGAGGTGGAGGAGGAGGACAGCTTCCTTAAAGACCGAGTGCTGGAGTTTGGAACGGGACTCGAGCTGCGGGAGCAGGACCGCCCCTGTTCGGATCCYGAGCCTTCGGTAGTTTGAGGCGTGCTCTCCAAACCGTGGTCGGTGACTATGACCGCGGGGATGGAGGGAGGCAGGGAGGAAGAGATGATGGAGGTGTGATCGCCCTCCTCCAAACACGGGGAGCTCTTATTGTCTTGTGCCTGAGGTAAAACCGTGGTTTCAGGGTTACCGTCCGACCCGTTTCCATCTGTCTGAAGCAGCACTTTAGGACCCCGTCGGTCCTCTTTCCCATCCATCGGCTCTCTCTCTGTCCGTTCTCTTCCATCTACCCCTCTTTCTGTATTTTCTACTTCCTTTTTGTCTCCCCCCTCCCTTTCTCTCAGTTTGTCTCCTTTGTCATCTGCTGTTGCATCGTTTTCTTGAACGAGCAGGACAAGGGGAGTTTGTGTAGTTGTTTCTGAACGGGAGTCGTTTTGATAAATCAGTGTCATGTTCTCTTTATTTGTTTTAGTAGCGCTGCCGTACTTTTGACCTTCATCCCTCGCTTCTTTCTTTTCTCTTTCAGTCATTTTTTCTTCCATTTCTCTGCCATTTTGGACAACAGAGGGAAGTTTAGTCACTTGTGGCTGAGTCATTGGGAATTCGAAAGCCATGCTTCCTTGGTTGGGATGGGGAGGACTTTGGCCAGTTCCTCGTCTAGCGGGCCGAGGGCTTCGTTGGAACTCAGTGTTAGGCACCTGAGTCCGACTCCCAGAAATGTGGGCCTCATAATAACCCACTTTTCCTCGGACCTGAAAGAGACAGAGAATTTAGAAGATATTTCTAAATCCAGCTTGGCTACAGTTTGGGCTAACTGTGGAGAAGTTTAATTTGATGTTTATTTGTGGTAGATTATCATTTCACAGGTATTCATTCACAGGTTTCCTGAACCAGCCGAACTTCAACTAAAGGGAGACATAACATGAAAACTGATATAAAAAGAAAAAAAAACAGTATTTTTTGACCTATCACTTTGAAGGTGCCAATCTAGTTTACTCTAAGGCAGTGCTTCTCAAGCCTGGTCCTCGAGGACCCGAAACAAAGTAAAACATGCAGGATGGTAGTTCCCAAAGACCAGGGCTGAGAACCATTGCTCTAAGGCGAAAACAATGACTCTTGTCTGCAAACTGCCCCGGCTCGTTTGTGCAGACTGAGATGCACCTTTACGTCATTCCACAAATTCTCCATTAGATTCCAAGACGTTTGATTGTTTTCTAAGGGGAAACTACTCAAGCGTTGCTCTATCCGCATGCCAAGAGACATTCTGAGCCACGATACTTTCGACTGAACAGAGAGAAGAAAAAATATGACAAGAGAAAAAAAATCTGTTTTTATAAGTTTTTAAAAAACTCTTATGCAAACATTTGTTATTTATATAAGAAATAATCTATAAAATCCCAAGTAATCCTGTATTAGTTTAACCCAACAAACCTTTTTTACAAAAGTAATAAAACCAGGATGTCTAAACAACCTTCAATGTTTCTTTTTTTTAATCATAAAAGCACAAGATTGACAGGTGAAAACTGCTAGAATCCATGTTTGATTTGCTCTGCTTTCAAAGCTCTAATAAGTTTTAGCACTTGAGCACCAAATCACAACAAAGAATCCTTCAGGGTTTTCACTCTGGGCTTTCTACTGTGTAACATTTGCTCTAGTGTGTACAAAATGATGTGAGAGTAAAAAGGGAAGGAAAAAAAGGCAGATGAGCTCACCTCGACGTTCTGCAGCTCTCTGTGGATCTGCAGCATCTGCGCCTGCCGTCTCCTCTCCTCCCGCCGCTCTCCACCTCTCGTCTCTCCTCCCGTCTCCTCCTGCCCGTCGCCGTCCCCCCTCTCGTCCCCGCTCAGGCGTCGGACTCGCTGGCCCACGTTTACTCCAAGGTGCTCCGGGCTTCGTGGGGACGGGGGGCGGAGACGGGTCGGAGAGCTGGGCGGGAGCAAAGTGGGAGCGGGGAAGACAAAGGCTTGGCCCAGAGCTCGGGGGCTTGTCTGAACCAAACAGAGGTAAATATTCACATGGAGAGTTAATTATTCATCAGCTTTTTATATAAACAAAAGCAGTTGTTTTTGTTTCWTATTGGGTCGTTATGAGCTGTAGTAGCAAGAGGCTGCTACCAAATAACTAACACAATGTTTGGATTACTGTGGGTAAAAAGCAAACAAAAAGAAAAAAACTGAAGAAAGTGACTATGATTTAGGAAAAAGTTTAAGTTTAGCCTTCTGCTGCACAGTCTTGCAACATGACCTATTTTCTTTTAGRAAAATTCTAATATTTAAACAAATTGAACAGTTAATTAGTTTGACCTGAGTCAGGTTTTACCCTTTAAATAGAAATTATATATAAAAACATATAATGGGCTCCTTCATTAGATAGTAGAACAGTCGAGTTGATTTAAGGTAAAACATTCATCATCAGAGTTAAACATGGATGACAGAGCTTACTGGTTTAGATCATTTCTGTTTTTGCACTTTGATCATCTTATGATTATGAYACGACAAAATTTGTTTTCCACAAATTTCTTTCCCTTAAGAGAACAAAACAAGACAAAGCAAACAGAATCTAAATAAAAAATAAAAACAAACTAGGCTTATCTTGAGAAGATAAAATACTTTGATCATCTATTTTCCCTAAATAAAAATCAAATTTTCCACGTTTTAGCGAAAAGACATGTTTTCAGTAAGCATTTTGTTCTGTAACACATCACTAACAATAAAAAGAACAAAACCCTTTTTTTTCTCCCATCTGAGGTCTTTTCTTGACAAGATGCTCAACAGTAGTCATAAACTTAAGTGGAAAATATAGTATCAATAAGTAGTAAAACAGGAGTACAAGCAGGAGAACTATTAGAAAAGGAAAGTCTTGCCTACCTTGGGACTCGTTGGGCTGTAGAGACTTCCCCCAAGTAACGGACAGTAGGTGCTTCGATCTGGAACCGGCAGCACGGGTCGGCCGACCGGACTGGTTTTAGCTCGGGAGGTGGTGCTGGAGGAGCCGGGCTGGGGGTGGAACTGATTACTGCTGCAGAGAGGAGAACAAAAACTGGTTGATCCCTCTGCATGATGAAGGAGAAGGGGCTCAATACGTTGGTAAAAACTTTATTAATACGTTGTACATATTATTTACACATTATTAATGTGCCTAAATCKTACACAACAACTGGGCTGGCCCCTTTATTTATGATAGAATACCAATTTACACATGATCACTCTTATATAAACCGTCTTCCCGAGTTAAAACCCAAACAAAAAACTAACTACAAACAAAATTAGTCTTTATTTTTTTAAAGAATAAAATCCAGCTCATTCTACTGTATAACTTTATGTACAGAAACACAGTTGTTTTAGTTTAGTTCCAACAAATTATCTTTTAAATTAAATTTCCTATAAACATCTTCATCACTGGATCTCAGCACAAAGAATTTCAATAAATTATTATCACAGCTTCTTTTTAGCTTCCTACATGTCTAATAAAGTTTTTGTGGTTAGCTAAATCTTTCAATTTCATTATATTTGACTTGATAAACAGATTCATAATAAACATTCAATTTATGTCCAATTGCATTGTTTGCAGTACAGCACAAACTGCAAAATACCATAACATTAATTAAATTATAATGAATTGTACAAGTGATGATGAGAAGCTATATAAATAAAACATTTAAAAAGTGCCTGTATGTGAAAGTAAATCATTCACCTGAAACTTGCTGAATGTTTTCTGACGCATCAGCAATAAAGCTTAACCTCATCAAATCTGATCCAACAGCTTCTTACTAGAAACAACGTTAAAAGTAAAAACAACAAGTAAACATGCACCTGTTCATGACTCCGAGGCCGTTCAGGTTCAAGGCAGAGGCTGCCATCCCCACGGCCAGGCCAGGGGCTTTATGTGCTGGGGACACATCAGACAACGTCCCCTGAAGCTGCGGTGGGGGCGGGGGGGCTCTGTCAAGCAGCTCTCAGTTTTTCCTCTGCTCCCGAGCAGCAGCAGCTCCACAACAAGAAAGTTTGATGTGACCGCTGGGAACAAACAAGAAAAAAAGCCCCTTTTATAACTTCTATTTGCATCACAAACACAATCTGTCTAACTTTGTTATTATTAATAACGACCTCATTTAAACTGGAAACAAAATTAATATGAATTTCACAAACAGTGAATATTTGAATTATACGAAGGAATTTTATTGTAATGATGTAGTTCCTCAAAGAAAGATGCATAACGCGACAGAATTAGCATCTTTTATTTGCAGACGGCACATCGACAAGTTCGATTTGACACTGAAAKTTTGACTAAATAAATAACCTCCTTTGTATATTTTTTAAGCAGGAAACCTCCAGACTTTTTTCTTCTCTGCTCTCACGTAATCTAATAACAAGCATCATCTCAAAACAACTGGATTATCCAGTTTTACAGGTGTTCAGTTTAAATTTACTTATACGAACACTACACAGTGCGCAATATTCCTTAAAACAGGCCTGCATTAAATGTTGGCGTCAATCCAGTCTGTCTGTTAGCAAAATATCTCATTAATCAATTTAAGCGAAACTCTTTGAAGTTAATCATCGACTGCACGTCTACAATTGATTCCAATTTGGAGCCGGTCCAATTCAAGATGGCTACCAAGTCAGTTGAGCTTAGCAAACATGAAATGAGCTGACTCAGTCCATTTCACCTACACTGAGCTAAAACTGTAGTGGTAGTAGCTGAGAGTCATCCTCAACAAATTCTCTGAGAGCCTGAACATGTTGCGATATCAGATCACACAAGACATCATTTACAGTTTGACCAAAATGTCTACAAATGTATCACCTCTCCACAAAAGATGATTTTAGATTCAAACTTGAAAGACATCAGCTGATAAATTATATAAAGGAAAATACATTTTTTTAAATACATTTATAAATTAAAAGCAAATTTGTTTCAGCAAAGCTCAACGTTTGTGTCTTAGCAGCGCACGGTTCTTGTCAGAAAAAGGCTTCTTGAAATCAAAAACGGGGTCAATTTGCTCARGAATCAACACCAACAGGAGATGAGCTGCAGGAATGGTCCCACGCAGCTTTGGTTCTGTTGATTGCTAAGGTCAAACACTGAACAGGTTGTGGTTTCATGTCCTGCTGGGAAATAAACTATGCAAATATGCTGCTCTGTGCTGCACGAGTGGACGATTGTAGTTAGTGTGCAAAACAACGAGACATGTCATTCCTCAGCAATCACAGGCAAACCAAAGCTTTTTTATTTCAGCACAATCAGTTCTCTAAAATGAAATAAAATGCGCTGTTTGTTCCACAAGAGTTGTGTCTTGCAGAATGCTCAGCAGCTTTATATCAAGTTAATGAATTAGTATTCATGTCAGTGATCTTGTGATTTGATTCCACGTKAATAAAGACACCAGCTCTCTGAACCGTTGGGACAAACATGGGATTTCCTTTTTGGGGAGTGACGCAGTTTGGAAGAAGCAAAACAACAAACTCAATAACCTCGCCGTGCCTCAAGTGGCTTACCAACTAATAGAGCTGCTTTAAAAAAAAAACAAAAGTCTACTGCTCATTTCTGTCTGATGATCCAAAAGGTTTGGGCAAACAAAAATGCCCCAAAAGTCTCGCGAAACGCAAAAAATAAATAAAAAAATTAAAAAGACACAAACTGGATGACCAGCATGGAAAGAGAGGTGTGCTCAGGCTATTTTGGTTCAGTTATCTWTTCGTAATCTTTCATGCAGAAGCAGAGGATTTACTTTCTGTCAAACAGGGACAGTGTAATGAGGCAGCACCGGGCACCATTTTCACATTGATGAAACTTTTTTTCACCGCCATTAAGATCATCCTAACTATTTCCTGATCCGCTCCCCACACAGCTGAAGATGCTTTCGGAATGCATCATCACGACACCAAACTACCGCGAGAGTTGTTTTTGTATGAAAATCCCTAACGACWTATTTATAACTCTAATTGCTATTAATAAACTCCTAATTATGTTCAACTCTAAGCAACACACTGCATTYTTCTAGCAGAATTTCAACAATAAAAGCCACGAACCAGGAAAGCAAACGATCACCCTGGCCCTARGCTGACAGATCAACCCTTAAAGTAATTAACAAGTTTAGTAAACCTGTCGAGCCTGCAAACGTCTCTGAGCACTCGAGCCACTTCAAAGTCCTCCGAGCCTCAGCACGGCCTTATTTATCAAACTGWGCAGGATCACGTCCAGCTTCAAACCGGCCGCCTGCGCACACGAGTGGGCAAAAAATGAAATAAAATAAAAACCTTTCACACAGYCAATCAAAACAAAAATCATCTTATAAAGACAATAAAACAGGAGCAGGATGAAAACTGAATCATGTCTTCCCATTCAGGTTGTGCTGAAAGGAAAAACAAGTCCTTTTCACCTGCGTGAGTGAAAGATAATTTAGACATAATGTCTTTACGTAAAGCACTTGTATGTTTAAATTTGTCACAATACTTGCTTAACAGTGAACACACTGGTAGAGAGCAAAATATTAAACGATGAGCCACAGCAGCAGATTTTGTAAAAAAAAAAAAAAAAGAGATGGGATGCTCGGAGCTCCTCATCTCACCTGAAGCTCAGGAGAAAAAGGCTTAAGTGGAGCTGAGTCCAGATAATTAATCTGCAAATAAACTCAGGATAAATCGTTCTTATACGAACATAGAGTGCTCCCATTTTATTTAAAGGCAATGTTATTTTATTTTATTTATTTTTTTTACTTTTGCAATTCACATTCTCTCTACCAACAGGATATTTTGTAGTTTTAACCAGCTAATGGGAAAACAAGGTTTGTGGGAAAACATGAGTTTTTTTTTTCAACTATTTTATAT